ACGGACGCCAAATGAAACACATCCGATATGAAATCTTTCTATCACAGGGGAGTAAAACAACAGTATAATATATTTTTATATTGAAGATAAAAAAATCAACAAAACATAATGAACACTGTTTGAAAAAGTCAACATTTGTAAAGTAACTTGCTATATTATGCTGGAAAAATGCATTTAATGTATCATTTGTTTTGCATTTTACATACTATATTTTCCTATTTCCTAATAATATTTTGGTACCCTACTTTATGTTTTTCACTGAAAACGTACCATTGCGGTATATTTTCCGGAATTTGACGAGTAATGTCGGAATGCCATGCGACTAAGTTAATGAAAGGCATGCGATAATAGCCGGAAGCAGTTGATAATTTTTCATATCAGACCGCTAAGCAACATTTCGGAAAATATGGAATTAACGTAAATTTAATGCTATTTTCATACTGTAAAATTATAAGTTATTTACTATAAGTATATGATAAATATATATATAATCTGTCGCTGTTTATTTATGACTGGTTATTATATATTTGTTAAATGTAGACATACGGTGTTTTTTTTTTGTGTTTTTTTCATTCGGTTGAATAAAACTAGAGTTATTACTCTTTATACAGATGACTCTCTCTTCCGACTTTTATTTGTGTATTTCATTGTTTTTTTGTTTGTTTTGGTTTGATTCAGTAACTTCAAATTCTTACTTATCAAAAAGAATGTTAAGGCTTGTATGTTTTATTTCATTTTTATTATTATTACTTTTGTCTTTGTGATTCATATTAATTGAAATGCCTTCTATGGACAATATAATTAGAAATAAAAGATATTTGTATTTTTAAAATAAATTAAAATCTCCCACTATCATTAATGTAGATTTGACTGTTTGTTAATTCGGTTCTAGTGACTGTTGAAGTAATCTAGTGATAAACCAGTGGCAGATGGAGGTCGATAAAATGATGACCATGACGACACTATGATATTTCTTGAACCTGTAATATAAAAAAAATATTGATTGCTGCTTTAGTGAATTTGGACTACCTATAAGACTAATAAAATTGAGAATGGAAATGGGGAATGTGTCAAAGAGACAACAACCCGACCATAGAGCAGACACTAGCCGAAGGCCACCAATGGGTCTTCAATGCAGCGAGAAACTCCCGCACCCGGAGGCGTCCTTCAGCTGGCCCCTAAACAAATAAGTATACTAGTTTAGTAATAATGGACGTCATACTAAACTCCAAATTATACACAGGAAACTAAAATTAAAAATGATACAAGACTAACAAAGGCCAGAGGCTCCTGACTTGGGACAGGCGCAAAACATGTTTTTTGAGATCTCAACCCTCCCCCTATACCTCTACCCAATGTAGAAAAAACAAACGCACAACAGTACGCACAGTAAAACTCAGTATAAGAGAAGTCCGAGTCCGATGTCAGAATAGGAAACAAAAGAAAATAAACAAAATGACAATAATACATAAATAACAACAGACTACCAGCAGTTTAGACATTCGTAAGAATTTTAAATTTCAATGTTGATGTATTGAAGAAGATTGAATAACAATTTGACATGCTACATTTAATATGATGCAAACTTATATGTTGTTCATAACAGCATTGTTTATTTGTATTCGAGCGCAAAATTTAAAAAAAAAACCAACTACTACATGGAGTATGTAGGAGTCGATCACTGGACCTTAATCTTGATTAAATTGATTTGTATTGAACTTACTGGGCAACTGTCAGTGTCTATCTCATAAATACTTGGATAAGTCTCAAAGTTTCATCAGTAAGACCCCTTTTATTCTTTGGTGTTTGACATACTGCAAATGCAACAATACAACAATCACATTATGAAATACAAAAATTACAATTCGCTAGTTAACTTATTTTAGTTGTCAGAAACATACCTTGCAAAGCTCAGTATAAAATCGAATTTGACTTTATGCTGTAAACCACGTAATGTTTACAAGTTCTCCTTCTGCAATGGAAGGATAATAATGTCTTATTTTATCAACCCCCGTACGTTGTATTGTTCTCAACATCTCTGCTATAATTGTATTAGATGTATTTAATGCTTTGCATGTCATTAGCGCTTCGGGCGGATGGCAGGAGGTTTTCTTTGGTTCGAAGAAAGGTGCTTTTTGAATAGCAGTTTTCATCAGTATCGGTACCTTCATTGCAAAATTTGCTCAAACTTCTTTAGTAGTTTTTTTACTGAATTTTACAAAGATGTATCAACAAGTTGTTCTGAAAAAAAATCATATACATGAGCATAATTATCATATCATTCCAATGTATATTATCTTGAGTTTTCTGTGTAGCGTTTTGTTGACTCTTGTTTGCCTTTTTTTGGTTTTATTTTCTTTGTTTTGTTTTTGCCACGATATTGTCTGTTTTTCTCTCATTTTATTGTCACCTCAGTATCTTTTTTTTTCTTTTCATCTATTTCAGGGGCTTGGGGCATGTACCCTTTGTGTGTGTGAGTGTGTGTGTGTTGTAATATTGATTCATTTTTCTTTATTCTTTAATCAACTTATCTAATTCATTCTGGTTCCTATCCATTCGATCTTACAACTTACTAAATGGGTTCTTCTACGAGGAAAATAAAAATTAGGAGCAGTACGTATAAACTGAAGTAATTATTAATGTAAAATTGTATGGATAAGATTAATTTTACATGTTTTAATGAAAATTTATCAAAAATCATAAACACACAAGAAAAGTCCATGCCCCCAGCGCTTGTGCTCTTTGATAAATAAAAAAAAATGATAAAGATTTTGATTGAAAAATAACAAGGTATCATTTCGATTCGCAAAGATTTTTCAACCGTGAGTGTTTTTCTTATTTTTACAAACTAGACAAACGACTTATAGTCCTATGGATGCACTGCAATTTCATGAAAATTTACATAGGATTATATATTTCAGGCAGGAGTCAGAGGCATTTTGCTCATTTCACATTTTTCAGGACGTTGACTATAATTAAAGGATATATAGGCAAAATCTCTAAAAAGGTCTTGCAGTCAATTTGCCAAATTTAAAGTTGAAAGAAAATGTAAGTGCTTTTCAAAATATAAAAGAAAATAAAGCTAATCTGATATCTTGGAAGGAAAACCTCAGGGTGACTGGATTGTCTGAAATGACAGAAAACCTGTGGGAAGGGATGCGTTTAGCATTCTATTATTAGATTTTGTTTAAAATAGTTGGAAAGTGCAAATCAGCAAACAGCTATTTAAAATATAGCCAATTAGAACATTTTGCGGAGAGCTGTATTTGTCAAGTATCTTCGTCTTCATACTTTATTTGGCCTTTTAACTTTTTTAAAAATTATAAGCCTAGTATCTTAGATGAGATTTTTTACAACCACTTGATCGATGCCACTGCTCGTGGCAGTTTCTTCTCTGAAGGTAATTGTCACCAGCCCAGTAGACAGCACTTCTGTGTTGACTTGAATTATCATTGATATGGTCAAATGTATAAATTTACTGTTAACAAATCAATGAATAGTTCAAAAGAAACTGCGGATTTTTTTACTCAGGAATAGATAACCATAGCTGTATTTGGCAAAACCTTTCGAAATTTTGGGCCCCCAATTCTCTTCAACTTCGTATCTTATTTGTCTTTTTAATATTTTTATTTGGGCGTCACTGATGAGTCTTTTGTAGACGAAACCCGACTCTGGCGTACAAAATTATAACCGTGGTATCTTAGATGAGATTTTTTACAACCACTTGGTCGATGGCACTGCTGGTGGGTTTTTTTTTTCCTGAGGGTAATTTTCACCAGCCCAGTAGACAGCACTTCTGTGTTGACTTGAAATATCATTGATATGGTCATATCTATGAATTTGCTGTCAACAAACCATTGAATAGTTCCAAACAAACTGCGGATTTTCTGACTCAGGAATAGATAACCATAGTTGTATTTTGCAAAACCTTTCGGAATTTTTGGTCACCAATGCTCTTCACTTCGTATCTTATTTGTCCTTTTGATTTTTTTATTTCCTACCCGTGGATATCACCAGCCCAGTAATCAGTACTTCTGTGTTGACATGAATTATCATTGATATAGTCATAGTCATAAATTAACTGTTTACAAAACTTTGAATTGTTTGAAGGCTAAGGATTTTCTTCCCATTAGAAATTGATAATCTTACCTGCATTTGACAAAATCTTTCGGGATTTAGGGGCCTCAATGCTCTGGAACTTCGTTCTTTATTTGGCTTTTTTTTACATTTTGGATTCAAGTGTCAGTGATGAGTCATTTGTATACGAAAAGCGCGGCTGGCGTACAAATTATAAGCCTTTTGGTATCGTTGGTGAGTTTTTTTTTCCAAAATTAAAAACTATCGAAAATCTCAATTATACCTTGTTTAATGAACATTTTAAATCTACATTGTAATTAATGTTTTATTTGATTGTTTATTTTTGCTTCTTTTTAACCATACTTTGAAGACATAGTATAAAGAATAAAGAAATTATTGGCCCTTGATGGGCAAAATGATACTAACATTACCATGTGATGAAATGTACATTTTTTTCTAATCATCCTTCAAAGACATAGTATAGAGAATAAAGAATTAATATCGCAATATTACAGCGAACTTTTTACAGTGTTTTATTGATAGAGTATGTAGAGTCATTTCCTTACTATTTTATTTTTGACATATATATATCTTTACACGACCTTTTATATAATACTGAGAGCATGAAACTTGTACATGCAAGGTATTATTGAATTAACGAAAAGTTTATAATACAAAAATACCTTTGTACTGAAATTGATTTGACACACAATAGAAGCACATTTATATCTTGCTGGACATTTTCTTTTTCAAATTTCCCGATAAATCACTTGTTTTTGTTTAAAAAAAACAAGATTTGACATAACGCTGTTAAAGGCGTACATTGTAAGTTAAAATATTTTAGTGATTATGTTTTCACCTTTTTCTAATTTGTCTTGTGTAAGACTCTGCCAGCAGCTATATATTAATTTTCTGGTGACTTCGCAGCCGTCTGAACTAACTCCTATGGTAGATGATACAATAATAAATTGTTTATGTTATAGAAGAAAAATAAGATTTTGGAAAAGCCATTATAAAGTAAGTTTACTTTATGAATATAATACATGACGACAATAACTGTTTTGTAAGTTTCATATAAAATGAAATAATAAATAAAAATAATTCAAGAATATGTGTTTAAAAATAGTAGCTTTAAGGGAATATATAACTTCACGAGATTAAAATATAATATTAATAGTTTCAATTGTCGTGTGAATTTCTCACTTATTAAGGGTAGTAGGATATCTATATTTGGTAAATGGGATCTTTGTAAGGCCTACATGTCCGTCAGCCAGGATACATCTGACCTCGACATCATTTCATGCAGTGATCAATGTTAAGTTTTCGTGGTCAAGTGCGTATCTTGGATACTATAAGCAGTAGGTAGACTATATTTGGTTTATATGATCATTTCAATGTCTACATGTCCGTCAGACAGGGTTCACCCGATCTCGGCTTCATTTCATGAATCATCGATCAAAGTTAAGCTGCCGTGGTCAAATCCGTATGTCATAAATCTATAAGGAATAGGTCAACTCTATTGTGTGTATGGAATGATTGTCTGTCGCACAGGATTCATCTGACCATGACCTTATTTGTATGAATCATTTGGTGAATAACATAAGCAATAGGTAAACAACAATATTTGGTTTATGGAATGATTGCATGGTGTACATGTTTGTCCGGCAGAGTAAATCTGACCTTGACATCATGTTTATTGTTCATTGGTCAATGTTAAGTTTCGTGGTACATGTAATATCTGTTTTTCATGTACTATAAACAATATGTCAACTGTATATTGTGCATAAAATGATTGTATTGTGTACATGTCTGTCTGGCAGGGTGGTCTGACCTTGACTTCATTTTCATGTTTCAAACGTCAGCGTTATATTTTCATGGTTAAGGCCGTGTCTCCGAAAAAATAAACAATATGTTAACTTTATGTTGTGAATGGAATGATTGCAAAGTGTGTTTTTGTCTGGTAGACGTCATCTGACCTTGACCTCATTTTCGTGGTTCATTGGTCAAAGTAAAGTTTCTGGTTAGGTGTGATACTATGAGCAACAGGTTAACTATATGTTTGTAAGGCTTACATGTCCGTCTGACAGGGCTAATCTGACCTTCATATCATTTACATAGATCATTGATATCTTAATTTTATTTAAATCTTGTTGTAGAACCCTTTTCTTAAACACTTTAATATAAATTAAATCATGATCAATAACGCAGGCGAGACATTTCAGCGTGTGCACTCTTGATAAATCTTTATAATGTTTTAACTGTGTCAATATTTTTTTATCGAGTTTGAGTGCATACATTTGTTTCCTCTTATTTTATAGGATGATTACGCTCGTTTTTTGTTTACTTTTGTTTATATTTGATGCCCATGGCACGACCAGTAACATTGTACCAGCACATATGAAGCATCTTGGCCCCCGAGGTAACTATCAGTATGTATGAAAGGCTTAGGCTTATGTTGATTTCAAAGGTAGTCTGTGACTAAGTGTACTTCTTGATTTCTAAACTCAAGTTTCTGGTAATCTTTTTCACATATAAGCCTCGATAGTGATACTTGAACTTCACACTCAACAATTTAAAGCCAGTTTTCATCAAAATATTTCATTCAATATTTAACCCCTTTTAAAATGTCTCTTCAAATGCCGGTATGACTTTTAATGAGACATACGTCATAATTTCGAGTTTCCTCTTAATTATATTATTATGTTTGATATATATATATTTAGTTTTTTATCTTGAAAATACACCACTCAGAACTTTTGTAAAATAGTTTGGTTTATTTTAAAAATGAAATCATCTGTTTAAGTAATAGTATACCTGTGGTCAAAGCGAATGATCAGCATGAGTATCAGTTGATGTCAAAACAGTCGACTTAAATTTGCTCGAAATTATATTTTGGCAGGTATTACGTTTGCGCTACCAAATGGTATTAAGTTTTCGCGAACAAACTGCTTTACGTATGATCGAATTAACAATAATTTACTTGTCTTTTTACTTGAGTGTTAATCCTGAGAATTACCTGAACTTGACGGAACTCTTGTTTAAAATGGATACATCTATAATTGTAATATAACACGCCGGTCAAACGAATGAATCAACATTATATATAATTTACATTAAAAAAATAGTTCTCACAGACTGGCAAAGATCTAAAAGATTTTACAATATATGTTTTAATAAAAAAAAATTAAATAAGATGTAATTTAAAGGTATTTTTGTGTACAATTTCTTGTTTTTGCCACAGAGACAATTATACATCAAAATCATTGGATTTGTTTTGCCGATTATTTTTTGTTTCTCTGATCTCTGTTATTTAATTTGTTTAGAATTTAACACTTGCAGTCATGGTAAAATTGTTATATTTATTGTTCATCAATGATTGCTTTAAGTGGGTGTTATGATATGCACAGAAGATTATAAGGTTAATACAGCAACCCAAGAACACAACAAAGTCGGAAAATACACATGAAAATATTTTTATATATTTTTGTGTTTATATATATAAGTAGTGTATTCTAAATTGTTTCGAATCCGTGATTTATTAGTATTTATTTTTCAGAAGCCTATTGGAACCTTTTGGAAACGATGTATTATAATCCTTACCATGATTTTTCTTGGCTTTTGATGTCTATCATGTCGACGGATGGAGAGGCCATGGGCATAGACATTTAGCTAATTATATAATTTTCTTTTATATCTCCTTTATATTAACAAATTGCTTCTTTCCATTCATCTATTTTAGTAACGTATAGTTTGTTTTAAGATAACTTTTAATGCATTTTTGTTTTTTTACCGATAATACAAATTTTACAATAAACAGATCTTAAGCTATGTTTATCTCACGTTAATTTGGTAAATGTATTGCACAGAATCAGTTAATACTGTTGAAACTAATCGATGGCTAATATGTGGCATCAGTTTTATTTCACCGTTATTATACCCCAGCTTATTAAAGCGCGTGGTATTAGTGATGGGGTAATTTTCAGAAGACGACAGGTATTTGAAGAACAAATGTGACGAAAGCACCAAAAGTTTTAATACTGGAAAAAATCAAAACAGGAAATGGTCAATTGTATGTCTATGCATATTCCCAATCCAGACAATCGAAAGTAAATACTAGTAGCGAAGGGGTAGAACACACACACATATACATACACGTGCAGATGGAATTTTTATAGTTCGTTCTCATGTTGTACTGTTACACCACTGTCCCAGGTTAGGGGGAGGGTTGGGATCCCGCTAACATGTTTAACCCCGCCACATTTTGTATGTATGTGCCTGTCCCAAGTCAGGAGCCTGTAATTCAGTGGTTGTCGTTTGTTTATGTGTTACATATTTGTTATTCGTTCATTTTTTGTACATAAATTAAGCCGTTAGTTTTCTCGTTTGAATTGTTTTACATTGTCATTTCGGGGCCTTTTATAGCTGACTGTGCGGTATGGGCTTTGCTCATTGTTGAAGGCCGTACGGTGACCTATAGTTGTTAATTTCTGTGTCATTTGGTCTCCTGTGGAGAGTTGTCTCATTGGCAATCATACCACATCTTCTTTTTTATATATATAGAATTAGAGATTTCATTAGACGACTGCATACATTTAACAATTTAATACTGTTATTTTCAATACAAAACATAATTATAACATCTGAACATGTATTATTTTATCAAAATTTCGACGGCTCAATTGAGTATTGCACGTGAATATGAAAAAAAATGGTTAATGGAATTAAGCCTTCAGTGAATCAGGCTGGTAGCATGTTGAAATTAAACAAATGTTTATATTAGAGAAGATAAAAAATAGCAAGTTGGTATATTTGAATTGTTTACATTTTTGTTTTCTATGACCTTTAAAGTTTAATGGCAGTTGGAAATCTAGTGACCGAGAACAATAGAAAATTCACTTTTCTTCTAAAAAAGTTGGGAAAATCAATAATAAAACAATGTCGGTGACGATACTGATCAAACGTTATTTCTTAACAACAATCGTAATTTTTAATGAAATTATTTATTAGACTGTTTTATTAGAAATATACATGCAAATACACGATTTGTTATGTCCAGTTATCGAGATAATTCCAAAAGAAGCTTTTAATACTGAAATCTAAAAAATATTAATCTTTGCTGCAAAGTGATAAAAAAAAAATCGGAAAAATCATGTACATACAAAATCTAAAGATCTTTCAGGTCACCAATTGTTGGAGTGTTCCAGAGGGTCCTTATCATGCTACAATTTCCCAAAATATACCCATTTTTCACATCTAAGTTTTCGAGTACACCAGTCTGTTCTTGTTACGTTAACATTCAATAGAAATATTATCTTTTCATGAATACAACAATTTAAAATCCCGTCTGTGCTGTTTCAAAAAGATTATTTAAATAAGTAAGGTTATCCGTTAAAAGATATTTTACTATTTTTCATACAATTTTAAGAAAAGGTCAACTCGATTTCTGTACGTGTATTTGCGGTCTTCTTGATTTATACACATTCAATGTTTACATCGGGATAATATCCGTGTGATTTTGCTTAGTAACTTAATTTCAAAAGTGTTAATCTTTGCTGCATATCAATCGAATCCTTTGGAATTTTTTCCCTGAACTTCTCTGATCTAACTATATACATATACGGTTAATTGGCAAGTTCAAGAGAGGTATACAGCCAGTAGAAAAATAAATTGAAGGTTGGTACTCTAGGAATTTATTCGCATAGCAACATTTTAAACCAGTTTTACATCAAGCTCCTATAACCTGCTGTACTCGTCGTTTGCTATTTAAGGAGGACAAATGATAACACTAAATGAAAATTTGCCTTTATTTCAATCTGTTATTTATTTTTACTATTTACAAAAACGTTTTCTCGTGCATATATAATTGATATCGTCCTTGCTAAAACAAGACAAACATTGAAAAGATCAAATTTCTCAGTGTTTACATGGGAGGTTATATTTTGTCACTAGATTTCCCACTGAATGGTCGGTGCATAATTTCGGATTTTGCGCATCTTATGTACGTGTTCATACTCAAATTATAGTATGGCGCTTCGAGATATTTGTAAACTTTTAAATAAAAGACAAATTTTCACAAAACAGTCGATTGAGTGAAATTTGTGGTGTAAATACGGTCATATTTGCATAAAGGGGCACTAGCTACGAGACATAAAAAATTGTAATTTGGATGTACGTTTTAGTATGTTATAAATCAAACATGAGAATTCGAGTAAAATCGGTGAAGATGAATTTGACAGCTAATGTCCCTTTATTTAAAGGTTATGATGTAGGGATTTTACCTGACGATATCGGAATCACAGTGTGGGAACGGAACAATATGGTTTTTTTTAAAAGTTTTTGGTCATTCGGGAGACTTCAAGCGGGCTCCGACATTCGAAAAAATAACAAGTTGCTTGATGGAAAGTTTGATGAACTCAAATGGTGCTACATATAAAGTTTTTGCTTCAAGATTTGGTTACGAAAATATTTTACATGTTAATATGAACCAATCAAATAATAAAAACGATATTTGCATCCAAACGCTTTCCTTAGAATAGTGGAGCTCCGAGTAAATCCATCAAAACTGGCACACAACAACCTAAAAAAATGCAAAATAACATAGAAAAAATAATCGTTGATACCTGAATTTTCACATGTACATTTTCTGATATATAGTCTTACCTGTTTGAAAGTTTAAAAGCCATTGTATCAGTAGAAATTCAAAGAAATTCATCACCTCAATGTCGGATATTTCATTGACTGTACAATCGCTTGCGTGTTTACTGTACAGTCATTTGGGCCTTTCCTGTACAATCGCTTGGCCAAATACAAAACTTTGGTAAACGAAAATGGAAAGGATATAGAAATTATCTTTGACTCATAATCAATGATTCAAATATACTTAATAAAAACTTGACAAAATTGATATTAAAATCATTTTGAATCATTTTGTTTTCGTGATTTAGTTTTTAGTTTAAACATATTATATTTGAAAGACATGACATACAAAATATGATCGCAGTAATACACATTGAAACGGATTCGGAAACAGTATTGTTCTAATATTAATCCGTCCCCGGGTCAACCGAAAAAAAGGAAATAACTTCTATATAGATGGTTAAAAAAATGTCATCAGATCTTTTTGTTTCTACCGGCGGCGGATGTGTGTTTCAAGGCTGTACCTCTCAAATCCGAGATAAAGAGAAAGTCAATATAGGCTAAAAAGGAGTTGATATTGCAATGGAACAGAAGAGTTTATAGTGTTTACATTTTTGGAATATTTATTTGTGTAAATAATTATGACACTCAAGCAGGAAATGCTTACTGCTATCTATTCTGTCAAATTCATGAACAGTTTTTACTTACCGTGAGATTTCTATTATGCCCCTTCACATACACGGATTTTTCTTACGAGTACTTAAAGATCACACAAATTCAATGATCTATACGATTTTGCAACCTTTACGACCGGTTTAACGTTTGTTAAGAGTTATTACGAGCTATTTACGGATTATCACGAGTTATCACATGTGTATTTACGGCAAAGTTCCTTCAGTAGCTTTGGCTTTTTATTAGTCTTATCTAGCTTCCAGTATTTGACTCTGCATTCGTTTTGTTGATATTTTGACATTTTGATACCTGTTCTAGCTAGATGTTTGTTGACATAATTATACGTATCTTTTCTTAATTCCGTGAATAGCTACCACCATTCCACATTCGAATGTCTGTATCAAGTTAGAATATCCCGGTCTTCAGATGAAACTTTCTGTGGTGTTATACTGTTTATATGCATACATTTTACACCCAACATCATGACAGTGGTTACAAAGCAACTTGTCGAAATCAATTTTATTTTGAACTAGTAGTCCACAGCTACCACAATAAAGTACATTACCTTTTGATATTAATGTAACTGTCTTGAAATTATCACAAAGTCATTATATAAATTACATTGTTTCGACTACAATCGCACGCCAATCTTTATCAGTGAACAGTTGATTGAATAAATGTTATGGATTGCCACGCCTATATCAAACTGAGGTCGTATGAACTAAGCATGGCGTCCTGACACAATCTAATACTTCGACTACTGTCGACCAGTGGGCCAGGATCCTAGGATACTATGAACTGACTTCAGATAGGACTCAATATGAGGGAAAATATTCCAGATATATTTAGACATTTAGTTGGGAACCAGTATTTGATATTTGAAGAAAAAAATATTGATATCTCTAATTGTTTCAGCATTAAAAGTGTTTAGTAACGAACATGAATTGTAGATTAAGTTTGGGTAGTCGTATGCACCCCTATTTTGTAGTCATTCCACATAAAAAAATACAAAAAATCTGCAGGTTTTGTGATTTTATAAGAAATGCAAATATTTAAGAAATTCAAATTCTCATACAGGATGATTTTCCTTTTTTCCTCAACATTGCTTACTGAAGAGAGTGAGAGAGCGGTAGGAGCGGTGGCATCCCGAATTTCCGGGAAAAAATACAAAAGCTGAATACCGAAATCCCGAAAAAATAAAGCATTTTATGCTGAATCCTGAAAAATTAATCATTGATTCCCGAGTGCCAATAAATGTAAATCACGAATTCACACAAAAATATAAGCCCAACCCGACGTCCCGAAAAGATCTGTTCAAGAGTTTATTAAAATTTTCAGAGATTAAAATCAAACAAACATTTTACACAAATTCGTCTTCAGACACGTTAATTGATATAGGTATAT